AATATAATTCCAATAGATTGTATTTACAAATAGAATACGTCCAATTTGATTGGAACGCCGGGATCCTACTCTAACAGCTTCCTCGTAAGTTCCTGGTCAAATGAAGGAAGCTTCCTCGCAACTTCATTTGGCTATAAGTACCTCATTTTGTATCTCATTCCAAGTGAAAGAAAAAGAAGAGTCGAGTTTAGAGAGTGAGTCTTTTATTGTTTTCACATTGGTGTGTTGTTGTTATTCCATCTTGTCCGATTCTATTTGCTAACAATTTACACACTTTAAATTCATTAGAATCCTCACAAAATGTCTCAAAATTCATATAGATCCGAGTCTAATTCATCATCATCCACTGATAGTGAAGATGGTGATAACACTAACGATTTAGAAGTTGAAATGATTTCATCAATCGTTCAACGAAGCCACGAGTTACTTCAAGCATACCAACATAAAACTGAAGTCGTAGAAGAAGAAGGTTCATCCAGAGAAATCTAGAAGATGGACATAACAGACTTGTAAGTGATTATTTCTCTGACCATCCTGTCTACCCGGATCATATATTTCGTAGGCGTTTCCGTATGCGAAGAGAATTATTCCTTCGAATTGTGAATGCACTTCAGACACAATCATCATATTTCCAGAAAAACTTTGATGCATCAGGAAGACAAAGTTTGTCACCACTTCAGAAAAGCACAACAGTCATTCGCCAGTTGGCTTATGGAGTCCAAGTTGACCACCTTGATGAGTATTTACGTATGGGTGAGTCAACTGCTATCAAATGTATTTTTAAATTTTGTGAAAGTGTGGTTCAAATTTTCGGTGATGAATATTTAAGAAGACCGAACAATAGCAATTTTCAAAGACTCTTCCAAATGCATGAAGAAAATCATGGTTTTCCGGGTATGCTTGGAAGTCTTGATTGTATGCATTGAGAATGGAAAAATTGTCCAGTTGCTTGGAAAGACCAATTTACAAGAGGGCATGAGTCTCCTACGATTGTCCTTGAAGCGGTTGTTTCACAGGATTTGTGAATATGGCATGTCTTTTTTGGTGTTGCAGGATCACATAACGATATCAATGTATTGTATGAATCTCCTCTATTTAATAATGTGTTGCAAGGAAATGCACCAAACATTCATTTCACTGTCAACGGCACGCAATATGTAAATGGGCATTATCTTATAGATAGAATATATCCAGAATGGGCTACGTTCGTAAAGTCTTTTCCTTGCCCGTCAGATCCTAAAAGAAATTTATTTAAAGAAAAACAAGAAGCTGATCGAAAGGATGTGGAAAGAGCATTTGGGGTGCTTCAGTCTCGATGGGCAATTGTAAGAGGTCCTGCTCGATTTTGGTATATAAGAAAACTGAAATTTATTATGTTGGCATGCATTATTCTACACAATCTGATTGTTGAAAATGAAGGAGTTGTAGTAACAAATTGGCACAATGATGAGAATGAAGAGCCCGCACAACCTGTCCAGGGTTCAAATCGAGAATTTCAAAATTATATCCGTAGAAGTTCAGAGATACGAGATAACACAGTTCATCATCAACTTTGTGCCGATTTAGTTAAACATATTTGGACTCATTTTAGCCACTATAAAAATTATATTTTGTAATTGTACTATTTTTTCTTGTGTAATCTTAATTTAAGTTATTTTGGTCTTGTAGTGTTCTTTTATTTTCATGCATTTAAAATTTATTATTATAATTTAAAAATATTAAATTTTTATTTTTATTGAGAATAGAATATTAAAATAAGTGGTTGAATGAACGAATATAATGGTCTCATATTTGTATTTAAATGAATGTGTAGGGATTTGGGTGTGTGTTTAAATGGAGAGAGAATTAGTGGAAATGTGATGTGGAGATGATGTGAAAGAGAGAGAGTATACTTTTTATATTGAATGAATGGGAAAAAAAATTAACCAATGCGGATGCCTTTACTAGAACTTCAAAACGAGTACGGTCATGGGCGGATCTACATAGGGGCCCGTAGGGGCACAGACCCCTGTAAAATTTTTGTAATATAGTATATATATGTTATATATATATATATAAATGTATTATAATTTGACATAAAAAATACATGTTATTAGTTATTATGCAAAGTTATTTCAATATAAAAAAATAAAAATGTTTAAAATTATTTAAATAATATGTTATTTTTAAATTGTGAAATTTATGTTTATGCTATATTCAACTTCTTGTTTATTTCCTTCCTCTCAAAAAATACGTAAAAAATAAATATTATACATAAATATAAATATTATATAGAGATCTAAGTCTCTATTCTTAAAATGACATTGTGAGACTCATCCCTAACTATTAAATAAGAAATAAGGTATTTGGTCAAAATTATATCTTTTTGCTTTTTTAGTTCTTTAAATTTTGATTTGAGAGTTGACTTCTGGTTTTAACCGTTAATATAGTTTGTGCTCCCGTTATACTTAACGTGTGTGTCCGCCACTGAGTACGGTCACATCATTTTACTGACTTCCATAAATCCAAATAAAACACTTCATTAATTTCAGAAGTACCAAGGCATATTATGATACAACACCACTGGAATGTCAGTTTTTACTT